CCCCCCCCCCCCTTAAAATTATTTTATCATTAAAGATGGCTTCGGAATAACAGAGTCGGACGGGACCTTGCGTTCAGAATATTGCAGTGTAAATTCAGTGCCAGATTATTTTATCATTAAAGATGGCTTCTTCTTTGTCCCAATATTCTTGTTCTGCAAGTGTTTCTTGTTTCTTCTCATAGTTCCAGATCTCCATTTCTAAGAATTGAAACACGAAGCCAAAAGAACTTCTCCTTTCTTGTGCGTCTTCTTTCCATTTTTTAAGTTCTGTTTTCAGTTCTTCTAAGAGTGATACCATTTTAAAAACTTTTAAACAACCACTCAGTTAATTTTAGTCATCTAGATGCAAAAGCCAAAAATCACCAAGTAATCCAAATAATCCAAGGCTGTTTCTACTTGCTTCTTTTTTCCACTTTCTCTTCCTGGGGTACTATTATTTTGTTACCAAGTTTCCATTAAAATGTATCTTTAAGGAATCTTGTTAAAATTTCACTGTAAGTTCCTTTTAATTACAGTTCCATTCCTTAATTCCAGGCAGTCTCCTCCATTTTTCCAGATCCCACCCTTCTATTCTTTTTTTTTCTCCTTTCCAGCTTTTAAAAACTTTTAAATGTCCAGAAATCTTTATTTATCCCTTTGACTTTTATTTTCAGCTTAGGTGCCTATTAATGTCAAAGTGGATTTTTTTTTCAGTTTCTTGCTTAAGTCTCTTAGCTGCCAGTATAAAGAAGGGAAGAAAAAAAAAACTAATCCTTTCCTTTCTCTCTCTCCTTCGCAGCTTCAAAATCTTCTCTGGGAACAATGTTGTTAAGTTTAAATTCCAGGGTACCTTATTTGTTGCTTTTGCTGTTTGACCCGGTCAACCAAAACTTTCTCTTCTTATCTTCCTCCTGCACATTCTTTTCTGGTTGAGTTCTTCTTTGTGGTGGCCATTTCTGACCACCGCTACAACCGCCTTCGGGAAAGGGAGTAATGGCCAGCTGGGGAGGAGAGATGCGGCTCTCCTCAACCCTGCAGGCAATCTCCCCCCTCTTCACCACCTCTACGGGGTAGCTTAGCCCCGAAACCAGCCGGCTCGGGGCACTCCAGCGGCAAGCACGGATCGAAGCCTCGGAGAGATGAGGTTTCAGTCTGTCACCAAAGAAGCTCAAACCGGAAGTCCCACATATGGCCAGAGACTTTTGATTTGAATGAGGGTGGATTTTTTGGAGCCCTGACAGGAATATAAGACAGGGAATGGTGGGAGTGCGATTGCAGGGCAAGCCAGAGGTGGTATTTGCCAGTTTTCCATACTACTCAAAATTTCCACTACTAGTACACCAGAACCGGTCCGAACCGGCTGAATACCACCTCTGAATCAAAAAGAATATTGGATCAAATTGGATCAAAAACAATAACTGTGAAAGGGAACTTGGAGTCCTAGTGGACAATCACTTAAATGTGTGGCAGCAATCAAAAAATCCAGTGCAATCCTTGGTTATATAAACAGGCATAGTATCAAAATCATGCAAAGTATTAGGACCGCTTTATAAAGCCTTAGTAAGACCACACCTGGAATACTGCATCCAGTTATGGTCACCCCACCACAAAAAAAAAAAGATGTTGAGACTTTGGAAAAAGTGCAAAGAGAAACTAAGATGATTAAAGGCCTGGAGACTAAAACATATGAAGAACAGTTGCAGAAATTGGGTTTGGCTAATCTAGAGAAAAGAAGGACTGGGGGAGGCATGATAGCAGTATTCCAATATTTGAGGGGCTGCCCCAAAGAAGAGGGTGTCAACTTATTTTCCAAAGCACCAGAAGGCAGGACAAGAAACAATGGATGGAAACTAATTGAGGAGAGAAGCAACTTGGAATTAAGGAGAAACTTCCTAACAGTGAGGACAATTAACCAGCTTGCCTTCAAAAAACATGGGAGATCCATCACCAGAGGTTTTTAAGAACAGATTGAACAATCATTTGTCTGAAATGGTATAGGATCTTCTGCTTGAGCAGGGGGGTGGACTAGAAGACCTCCAAGATCCCTTCCAGCTGTATTCTGATTGATTCTGATTGATTGTAGTAGGGGAGTAGGAACAGGGAAGAAGGAGTGGGGATGACAGGATGACAACAACCAGAGGTGTCAGTCCGGAACAAACTCTCTGACCAAGGACGAAGGCACGAGATGAAATGTGAAACCTCACCAAAGAAATGCCAAAACACCTAATTCAAATACCATTGGACACCGGTGGACCGATCAAGGGGTAGGTCCAAGGAAGAGGAAAAAACACAGATTCTGAATGGGAATATTCAGATCCAGCTTTGCTTATTCTCTAACTGCTTAACTTTAGTAAAAACGATCCTTTCACTTTAAAAATGGAATCAAGGGGCTTTCTTTCCTAAATGTTCAAGTGGGAACCAGCCTGACACTGAGCTAAAAGATGTGACCTGGGCAAGTTGGTGGAAGAGTGAAACTGTCCTGGTGTTGATCTTAGCATGAGAAGAAGATGCTGTGTAGTGTTCTCAATTCCCAACCCTCCATGTACCTAACTTCAGCTGTGGCAAATTGGGAACCTCCTTTGTGACGGCAGCGTAGTAGCTGTGAAGTCCTCGGTGGGCACCAAGGAGCAGGAGGCAGAGGTCTTTATGCCACTTGTGGGCATGTTGCCTGCAGTTTTCGGATGGCACATAGCAGCTGCCCTGCAGAAGAGAAGAATGAGAGAGAAGCAAGGAGACCACATTACTTGATTTTCCCTTAGAAGGTAGGATCGAGGCTCATCAAATCTGCCTAAATCACCATTTCTTGAATTAATCAGATACAATCTTAGAAAGAGAAAAAAAAACATTTCTGTGTCAAGTCTCTTTCTGCAAATACGGTAATTCTGATTTAAGTGTTTGTGTGTTTAATGGATTTTGCATTCAGCAAACCGGTTTAACTTTTCAAAATTGAGCTGTTTCAAGCAAGGAGAAATTCAGGGAAAGGATATTTTCAGAATGCTATGAGATCTCTGACAAGCAAGGCTCCATGAGGAACATCAATTCTTCCAGCCCACATAATAGCAATAGCACTTAGACTTATATACCACTTCACAATGTTTTACAGCCCCTCTCTGAGCGGTTTACAGAGTCAGCGTATTGCCTCCAGCAATTTGAGTCCTCATTTTACCCACCTTGGAAGGATGGAAGGATGGGTCAACTTTGAGCCTGGTGAGATTTGAACTGGCAAATTTCAGGCAGCCAGCAGGCAACAGAAATAGCCTGCAGTACTGCACTCTAACCACTGTGCCCCGTAGCTCAAACAAATAAGTACTCAAAGAAATAAATATATTATCATGATTTTTTGGTCTGGTGGTTAAGGTACCAGGCTAGAAAGTAAAAGATTGTGAGTTCAAGTCTCACCTTAGCCACAAAAGCCAGTTGGTTAACTCTGGGCCAATCACCAGGAGACAGTGAATTCTAAACCTGCCTTAGCTGCAAAAGCCAGGAGACAGTGAGTTCTAGTCCTGCTTTAGCCCTGGAAGCCAGCTGGGTGACTTTGCGGGAGTCACTCTCTCTTAGTCCAATCTTTCTCAGGGTTGTTGTTGTGTGGAAAATAGGAGGAGGAAGGTGTGTTGGATAGGTTTACCACTTTGAGTTGTTTGTAAAAATAATAAAGGGGGGGGGATGCAAATAAAAAATAAATAAATTGTCAATTAATGCCAGGGTAATTGCAGACCAACAATCAAGTGGTAAACAATATCCCCGTCAAGAAACCACCAACTCAGACAATCAAACAATGAATATCAGCCCAATCAAGGAACAACCAAGAACACTTCTACCAACATTGACAACACTGTACATAAACAAGAGAGCAAACCTCACTCCTTTCTAGCACTGATAATGTTACTAGTTGGGGTAATGAAACTTCTGCAAGAAAACAGCCAGAGTACACCACATACAACCTGACATAATTCCTTTTGGTTGAGCCAAATCATTTGATATTAAATTCACAAAGATAGTCTATGATTAAACTAGGCATTTCTTAACTTCTTCGCCACCCAGGACAGGATTATGCTGAAGTATGGATAGTCCTCCACTTATGACCACAATTGAGCCCGATATTTCCATCACTAAGGGAGACATCAGTTAGCGGAGTTTTCCCCCATTTTGTGACCCTTCTTGCCATAGTTATTACTAAGTTAGCAACCTGGTTATTAAGTGAATCTGGTTTCCCGTTGATCACGTGACCCCAAGACACTGCAACCATCATAAATGTGAGTCAGTTGTCAAGTATCCAAATGTAAATCACGTGACCATGGGGAGGCTATAATGGTCATATGAGTGAAAAATGGTCATAAATCACTTTTTTTCTGTGTCATGGTAACTTTGAACAGTCACTAAATGGTTGTAAGTTGAGAACTTCCTGTAACTGACAATCAGCGCATTGCTTAGTTCCTTCTTTATTTGTTGTGTGCTATCATGGTATAAAAGCAAGCGATAATTCTTCAATAATTTTAATTTAAGCTAATCCTCCCTAAATAAAGCATGAGAATGCAGTTATATGCCTGGATTCTGGGGCATTTCTTGTGTGCTATTCAAACATTGCAAAAATAATACCACACAAATTTTGCCATTGTGGAGAGGCCTAGAGGTGCAGCTCTCGCCTCACAATCAGGAGGACGTGAGTTCGATCCTAGGTAGAAGCATATCTCTCTCTCTCTGGGCACACTGAGGATATATCTGCTGAACAAAACTCCTCATTGGGGGCAGGAAGGGCATCCGGCCATGAAAACACTTTGCTAGCTCCATTCAGTTGCCCAGACCCCACCCTGCAAGGGATTATGGGGTCATTTTTCTCTCTGATAATATCACACTACTAACTAGAGCATACAAAACATTTGCTAGATCAATACTTGAATACAGCTCAAGTATATATCAGTCTGGAACCCACATTACGTATCTGATATTAATACAGTTGAGAAAGTCCAGAAATATTTCACAAGAAGAGTTCTCCACTCCTCTACTCATTGCAGAATACCTTATGCCACCAGACTCGAAATTCTAGACCTAGAAAACCTAGAACAACACTGCCTCCGGTCCGATCTAAATATAGTATATAAAATCATACATTGCAATGTCCTACCTGTCAATGAATACTTCAGCTTCAACCATAACAACACAAGAGCAAACAATAGATACAAACTCAAGGTTAATCGCACCAAACTTGATTGCAGGAAATACGACTTCAGCAAGAGAGTGGTCAATGTCTGGAATGCTCTACCTGACTCTGTGGTTTCTTTCCCAAACCCCAAAAACTTTAACCTTAGACTTTCTACTATTGACCTCACCCCTTTCCTAAGAGGTCTGTAGGGGGCTTGCAAAAGTGCAACAACATGCCTATTGTCCCTGTCCTATTGTTTCTTTTATTTTTCTTATATGTATCCATTTCATGTATTCATAACTATGTTTATACTTATACCTATTATCTTGTAAACAATTGACAAATCAAATAAATAAATAATAAATTAAAAGATGACGATGACAAAATTTGCCATTGTTATTCATTTGTTTGCGATTGATTTTTGAGGGGAGAAATATTTTGAAAAGGACGCTGATGGAGCCTGCTCAAGCCTTCTGCTTTGTCAGGGATTATGGATCTTTCACTGCAAGCAAAGACCTGCATTTAGCACCCCTAATACCTTATCCTAATAGTATATGAATGACTTTTAGGGAAACTTTTCGACACAGCTCTCGCCTTCCGTGTGAACTCCATTAAATTCACAAGAGAACAATAGACCTGACCCTGTGCAATGCATTTTCCAAGAATAGCACTCGAAACATGCAACTGTTATTTTTGGTTTCACCCCTCTCACCCTCAAACTGATGGCCCCAATCAGGTCTGAAATGAAAGTTATTGTGAAGAAAAGAAAAAAATAAAAGAGGAGAGGAGAGGAGGAAGAGGAAGAAAAAAAGGAAAGGAGAGGGAAAGGAAAGGAAAGGAAAAGGAGAAGGAAGGAAGAAAAAGGAAGAAAGAAAGAAAGAAAGAAAGAAAGAAAGAAAGAAAGAAAGAAAGAAAGAAGGAAGGAAGGAAGGAAGGAAGGAAGGAAGGAAGGAAGGAAGGAAGGAAGGAAGGAAGGAAGGAAGGAAAGAAAGAAAGAAAGAAAGAAAGAAAGAAAGAAAGAAAGAAAGAAAAAGAAAATCTAAGGATATCACATCACACATATAATTAAATCTTTTTCCAGTAGCTTCTTCTGCAATTTGGCACAAAACACCTTGTAAGCAGTTTTGCAGCATCCCAAACTTTTAATGAATATATTTTATCATTTTCATTGCTGTTCCTGATGCTACTCTTCCTTTCAATTATATGATGGTTCATTGCAAAATGTGGCACAGTGACTTTTAATGAAGAAACAAACATGTGGGAGTGACATAAATTGCTTACTCTTGATGACAGCAAAAACAATCTATTGCAAGAAATAATTAGGAACAATGCTCATTATATCTCTTTTAGAAGAATACAGTATCAGTATTCATGGAACAGTCATTAAGGGCTGTAAGAGGGAGGAGGGAAGGCAGGCAGGCAGGCAGGCAGGCAGGCAGGCAGGAAGGAAGGAAGGAAGGAAGGAAGGAAGGAAGGAAGGAAGGAAGGAAGGAAGGAAGGAAGGAAGATGTTGAAGATAGGTAAAGGATGTATGTATGTATGTATGGATGGATGGATGGATGGATGGATGGATGGATGGACAGACAGATGGATGGATGGGGTGATGAGGCTGAACCAGATGGAGGGGTCAAATACACCACCAGTCATTAATTCCTTCACACCCACAAGTGATCTTTGTCCAGCCCACTTTGAATTCCTTTCTATTCTTAACTCCCGCTGATTTCCTTTGATCTTTAGTAGTTCAGATTCTTGTAGAGTGCTTATGCTTGCAATACATCTTTATATGCATTTGAACTGCCTGGATTTCCTGATTTCCCTGTTGCACGATGATAGATAGATAGATAGATAGATAGATAGATAGATAGATAGATAGAT